CCAACATGTCCTGTTCACATGGCAGAGCTTTGTTGAATGAAGTGTTGCATAGGGACATTTCTGAAGCTGATATTAATTTACTATAATCCTGGAAACATTGAGCAGTTTGGGTTTGTTCACAGCAGCTGGAATGCTGACAGTCTTGCCTATTCCAGCTTTTGTGTATTGTGAGTCCTTTCAACAAAGCTCTCTTCAGAAGTGACATCTGGGCTTTGGGAGTATTTCCCTCCCATGTGATTCATCACATGCAAGGCCTACTTTGAGTTCTTGGGAATCAGCTGAGGAAGCAGTAGGTTCTCTAAAGTTTGGGGTTATACTGTTGTTCTACACATGTGAAAGGAGCAGTAACAGTATATTCAGAAGTATTTTAACAGACCATAAAATTGATTTTAGTTTCCTTTGTTGTCTAAACTACAAATTAATTACTTTATTTATTTGTTTATTCATAATACTTTTCACCAAAACCTCAAATCAGCTTCAGTAGTGACAAAAGAGCAAGGGACTCTCTTGGTACACTTGTAAAATAGGCAGGGCAGTTTTCTTTATTTAAATAATAAAAATTATGTCTGTCACAACTGACAGTGGAAGAGCTAATAGTAAATTCTGTAACCTGGAGAAGGAAGAGCAGGGCCTGGATTTGTTTCCAGTATCCAGAGCTGAATGGTTCCCTCCTTTCCCCTCAGCACGTGTGTTGTGACTGCAAAAAGGATTTTTGCTCAGTTTGTTCAGTCTTACAAGAGAATCTCAGAAGATGTTCCACTTGTCACTTGCTGCAAGAAACGGCCTTCCAGCGCCCTCAGCTAATGAGATTGAAAGTGAAGGATCTGCGTCAGTACCTGATCCTCAGAAACATCCCCACGGACACCTGCAGGGAGAAGGAGGACCTGGTGAACCTGGTGCTGGACCACCATGGCTCGGGGGAGGACATGGACGCTGGCAGCTTGCGTTCCTCACGCTCACAGACTTCCAGCTTTTTTACCCATCCCTTTTCCACGTCTGTATCCATGTCAAACCCAGGAGAACTTGCTAACAGAAGGGGAAGCACAGGAAGTGGAACACCTTCACGGGTACAGTGATTAACATGTTTTATGCAATAGCATTATTGTTTAATAGTTACGTATCAATAAAACACCAACTGGTACAGTTTGGAGGGACAGGAAGAATGCTGTTTGTACCCTGCACCTGAAACCTGGAGATAATTAGCAAAGATTCCTAGTTCATGTCAGAAGTGACTTAAACCTGGAATTGTTAGTATCAATTGGAACTTCAAAATGTCATTTCATTGTGACCTGTGATCACCTTGGTAGGAAGGAAAGTGTTTTATAAGGGAATAGCATGGTTTTTTATCCTGATGAGTTTCATTTTGTATGCAGGGACAAATGGAAACATCTGTAAATAACGAAGAAGAAGAAAGTGCAGAAGAGCAGGTGAGATATGAACTATCCAAAGAATAGATTTTTGGCATGTGATACCATAAAGTGTTTTAGATGTCTGCCAACATTTGGCCTCATGCTGTGGGTTCTTGCAGAGTTTGCTGTGTCTGGCAATGAATGTCTGCACACACTGGCTTCAGAAACAATTTAACTTTAGCCAGGCTGCTGCAGCTTCTCGTGCTCCAGCTGTGTTGCTCTGAACTAACCAAGACAGCTCAAACCACACACCTGATGTGTTTCAGACCCCGGGACTGGCCAGGAAGAGAGCGAGGGCATCCCTGTCTGATATTTCCAGTCTGGAAGACATTGAAGGCATGAGTGTGCGGCACCTGAAGGAAATCCTTGCCTGCAATTTTGTCAACTACTCAGGATGCTGTGAAAAATGGGAACTTGTGGAAAAAGTGAGCAGACTGTACAGAGAGAACAAGGAGAACCACAAGACACGTAGGTTTATACTTTATTTCTGCTTTCTTTAGAATACCGAGTTTCCGGTTTCTGGTTTGGTTCTGCCAGTGGAAGAACTCGGTATCTGAACTTAGTATGCTCTGCTGGAACACCTGGAAAATGTGTTTTAGCAATGCAGGGTGGCCCTAGAGTAGCTGAATGTGGCTGTAGGGATTAAATAAAGCATTCCAGGATTGTGCTGTTTTTTTGAGACTTTCTTCCAAAGTTCAGAGAGCTCAGCTTTCATGGTGAAGGTAAAATTGCACAACCAAGAACTGGTTCCTCTGAGAACTGAAACTTGGCACCTCCACGTGCTTTGCTGGTTTCACAGGGCATTAGCCAGAGCTGCTCTGTAGCTGTGCAGGTCAGGGCTGTTATTGCAGAATTAAAATCTACAGTGACAAAAGTCCAAGTGCTTTGGTCTCAGTCCACATTTTCATAAGGTTATTCTGTGGCTGCCGCTCAGTGCTGCTGTTCTACCCTCTGCTCCATGCAGCAGTTGGAACCTTTCACTTGGGTAATTTGTCCTCAGACCAATTCTTACTCACACAAAACTTGGGAAAAAAACCCTAGAGCTTAAGGTTTATTTTTTTCACCATGATCTGCATGATCTGATGGAATGTTCAGTTATTGATGGGGATGGTGACTATTTGCAATGAAACTTGAAAGGTTTTGTTCACTTCTGCCACCTTTATGGCCTACTTAAGGCTTCCACTTCTTAGTCTGCTGTGTATTATTATTGTGTTTAATCTTCTGAGGAAAGTGTTCTGCCAAACAATGAGCTCTGAGATGGAAAACCAACATGCTCTGCATTTTAATCCAGCATGTTATTTCGTAGTCATTACATTCAGAATTGAAAATAGTTTGAGTTTAAAGAATGAAGCCAAATATTGGATGTTCACTTGAGGGGCTTTCTAGTTCTTATTTCTTTGCTTATTTTTGGTGGAAGATAGATCAATTCATAGCTGGGGGTTAAAAGAGTTTGTGTGAGGGGGTGGAGCAGGGCCAGGCTGGAACTGCCCTGGTTCTGCAGGGCCCAGGGCTGTGACCTCCCTCTCTGTTGGTTTCCAGAGGGGGAGAGGATGCAGCTGAACGAGGACGATGACAACCTGTGCCGGATCTGCATGGACGCCGTGATCGACTGCGTGCTGCTGGAGTGTGGCCACATGGTCACCTGCACCAAGTGCGGCAAGAGGATGAGTGAGTGCCCCATCTGCCGCCAGTACGTTGTACGGGCCGTGCACGTCTTCAAATCCTAAGGCAGCCCTGCCCCGAGTGCCCATGGCAGGATTCCTGTGGGCAGGATTCCTGTGGGCAGGAATGCTGGGCCCTGGGGTGCACGGCAGCGTTGTCATTTTGATTAAACTCGGCCTTTTCAACGTCAAGATGTCCAAGTTGGTGAAAGGTTTTTCAAGCAGCTCCTGCAGCGCAGGGCTGGGCAGGCCCAGGTGCTGCCCCACTGACCTTACTGCCCCACAGATTGCTGGAGTCAAACTGTTTACAGCAGTTCTTGCTCTCTTCTGAAGAATCTCACCTGTCCTTACGCATTCAGCACTCGGCAAGTGGTCAGCAAACACCTCTGCTTGAGCCTATTAGCCTGTGGTGTTCTCTAGTGCATTAGAAGCAATGAATATATCAGTTGATTATTCAGCTTTTCCCTAATGATAGAATGTATCTGTTCCGACAGCCTGGCTCCTGCTGGTGTCGGACACAGCTTAGGCAGCACTGCCATGAACTGTTCCTGCACAGAAGCCCTTAAGCAATCTTGCTTTATGCTGATTGCTCCCTCTGAATGTCTGTCATGACACGCGTGCTGTCTTGGCTGTTCTGTCTGTGTACCAAACACTCCATCACTTTGCAGGGCTCAAGGGCTGCACTGGGCTCTGCCTGGTGGGCTCCAAAAACCAGTTACTAAGTGGTTTTTAGTTTAGGAATAAACTATTTTTTTAAGAAGGGGTACAATAGTAAAACATGTTAATGTGGTCCTTAATCCGCTCATGCCTGTTGTAACTATTAATCTGTGATGATTGTACTCCATGTGCCGACAGCCTGATGTTACTGTGAGTCCTGGTCAGGGCACCACCTCCTTGCTGCTAACGTGGAATGTACGGCATTACTAACCTTAACTGGGGAGGGGGAAACAGGAGCAGGGCTGGTTTTTGTTTAAAATCTCCTGTTCACAGACTTTCACCCAAAGCCAAGTCACCCAAACCAGCTTCCCCAGGGGCTGCTGAGGGCCCTGTCTTGATGCCAGCCCTGGGCCCAGGGTCAGACTGAGCTTTGTGCCATGAGCTGGGATCCAGGTCCTCTTGCAGCAGGAATTGCTCCTGGGTCCCTGTAGGATGTGTGTGAGCAATGAACTGGGGAAGGGAGCAGGAAGAGGAGCTTGTGCTGGGGGTGAGAACAGGATCCCTGTGACCAAGCATGGGGACAACTGGGATTGGTGAAGTTCATTGTAAAAAAGAGGTGAGGAAGGACCATGTGTGTCCAGTTGTTCTTTAAGCTGAGTTGATTTTTTTAAAAGGTACAGTTTCTCCTCTGATCCCCCCTGTGGCAGGAAAGTCCCAGAGCCAAGGCTGTTCTTGGCTGAGGGAGTAGGACCTGAGAACTGGACCTGTGCTGCACTGGCACCTGCTCTTACTTTTGTGAACTGTTAAGCTGGCTTGGAAGGGAGAAAGCAGCTCCTCCTCACACAAAACAGCTCCAAGCTCTACTGGGTATTTTTCAGAAGGGAGCAAACCTCTCAATGGCTTTATTTTTTAGAAATAACTTTTTAATGGTACTTAATTCCTGGAGTCTGTCCAGAGGGGAGGCTAATGAAGACAGACATGCCCTTGGTGTTATTTCCATGCTGCTCATTAGCCACTCGAGCTTAATAAAGATGGGTGATGGGCTCTCTCAGCCTCTGTCTCTTTTCTTACCCAGCCCTGGTAGTGCTGGGGGTTACTCGGCTCCAGTTTGAATGTTCTCAAGCTGCCAGTGCTCCTGCAGCCTGCCTGGGCAGATCCCTGCTGGAGGAATGGAGAGGTGGATGTAACAATGCCCAGCAAATGCTCAGAGTCCTGGACCAGAGCTCCCTGCAGCCACCCCCCCTCACCCACAGAAACGAGCAGAGCCAGCGCCTGTTTTTGTACAATTGTTTATACAAATTCAACAAAGGTAAAACTGCATCAGGAAGGTCTACGAAAACAACACCGTACAACAATGGCACTTATGAATGCAGAATTTTACAATCAGGAAATAACCATGTTATAAACCTTAAATGAGAACTCAACTCACACTTCAAAGAAAGAGAGACTACGTTTGACCATTTATTCTACTGCTGGACTCACTGTATAAATTAATTTTATATTGAGTACAAGAGCTCATGCTACAGAGTGAAACCCTCCTATGTGCAAAAGCTGAAATTGGAATTTTTTTAAAATTTTGAGAAAAAGGTGATTTCTATACAGATAAAAGTGTTTTACTTCAACTATAATTTACACCTTATTTCCACAACATGCTTATGTCACTTCTGAAGTATACAAAGCAGGATATAAACTTCCATTAAAACATGCTTTAAGTTGAAAGTATGAACCTACTTTTCCTGACCTGGGCACGTTTGTAGATAGATACTGCCTACGAAGTATAGGTTAAGTTCTCGCCTACCATAAGTAAAGATAAAAATTGGCAATCAAAACCGAAACACTGGTAATGCATTCAAACATTGCATAAATAATTTTTAAACAATTTTTGTACAAAAATAGTTCTGCATAATGTAAGATGTAACAAAACAAAACGTGTTAAGAAGGCAGAAATGCAGTGCGTGGTCCACTTAAATGACACCAACTTTTTTTTTTTTCTTGTTTTAAGAAATGAAAAGCAGAAATCAAATTTACACTACCAAGCACATGCTGTGGTACTTTAAATAACAGTATTTCTTGGAGCTCAGTCCTCTTCCAGGGTGTGAACAATTATCATCGGTAACAGTCGCCTTATGAATTTGCATAAGAGCCAGTGCAGGACATCCCAGGTGGACTGAATTAGTGGCACAAGTTGAAATTCTTAACATGGGTAGTTTCACGTTGTTCTCTCCTCAACAAGAGTTGTAAAATCCAATCACGGCATTTTCTGATATTCCAAGTTCCCAATTGAAAATAAAATCCCTACGTGTTCTTAGTCCCTTCCCCCCCCTCACCCCAGTATTTACACGAGTCCTTTAACTAACTCAGTTTTTGCAGAAGTTTTTCTTCCACCTGCCCAAACTGGACACTTACGGACATCTCCGCTATGAACTGCTCACAGCCCTCCTTCGTCACTTGCTTGCAGTACCTCAGGTCGATCTGGCAGATGTTCCCACAACGTTTGAAGTAGGACAGGCACTGGTCAGTGACCTTATTGCAGTCTGGGGAGAGCAGAGGGCAGGAATTGAACACTGATGTTTTTCTCCAGCACAAGGAATCCCCACCAGCTCCAGCCCCATCCCCAGCAGAGGAATCCCTGCCAGCTCCATCGCCCATCCCCTTCCCCCAGCTGTTGTGCAACCCATGGGATCAAGCCAGGCAGCCCAGATGTGCAGAGCAGCAGCGCTGGAAAATGCCCTGGGAGGATGAGCATGGATACAACACCTCTGGCAGCTGCAGAGCCATTTCCAGCGTGTCCAGCTGCTGCCAGGGACTGACACCAGGAGCAGGGCAGGGGCTGCAGAGGTCAAAGCCCCTCCCAGCTCTGAAGCCCTGGCCAATTCCCTCCCCCACATCCCATACCTGATAAATTAATTTCTGTTAACGAATCCCGCGTGGTGGTTCCGACGGCGGTCAGCAGGTTAATAGACTGATCTGTCACGTGGTTACAGTAACTGAGATTGAGTTTGGAGAGCAGGGGCATGTGCCTGATGATCAGCCGCAGCGAAGCATCCGTGATATCCAGCCCGGCCAGGCGCAGCTCCACGATGTTCCGTAGCTTGCTCCGGTTATCGATCTGGCCTGCAAAGCAGAGGCAGCAGGTCACGCCCACGAGCCCCACCCCGTGCTGCCAACATCTGCAGGCCTCTATGAAATGCACCGTGACACACAACACTGCTGCCCTGGGTCAGCTTCAGATGCTTTTCCCTGTCTGGAGCTTTGGAGGGAAGATCAGCAGGAACACTCGTCTATTTTTGGAACAGGCATGTGGACAAAGCCACCTCCTGATTTCAAAACAAAAGGGATGAAAGTAACTGCAGGGGCCCAGCAGAATTACAAGTTGGGAATAAGCAGTAGGCTGTGCAGTGCATGCCAGAAAGCAGATCTGATTTGCTCAGAATTTCACCTGAGCTGAAATCCGGGCAAATGTGGCATGACCCACAGAACTGCTCCTTCCCTGAACTGGAAGAAAGTGTTTCCATACTCTCTAAAGTACACCCGTTGCAGCCTGAAGAGAAGAAAGTCAGACAGAAAACCAGCACAGTGGCTCAGATGATGGTTCAGCAGGCAGAGAACATCCCTGTTATCCCGGGGCTCCAGCCGGGAACGTTGCCAGTCACTACCTCGAACTCCCCGAGGGGCAGCACGGCCCCAGCCCCACCGGGTTCGGCTGTGGGAGCTCCTGCCTGTTTGCTCTGAGGGGATCTAAGCACAGAACAGGCCCCGGGGTGGACGGGGCTCCCGGGCTGTCCCCGCTGTTACCTGGCCGGTTGTCCGTGGGCGGGGACAGGAGGTCTCTCATTTGTGCGTCTTTCAGTCCTTCTGCCCACTGCACGTCCAGAGTTCGCAGCAAGGGACAACTGGAGCTACAAAGTGCCGACACTGCTATCCATGAGCACCCTGATAACAGCAGGTCCCGCAGACCTGCGGATACAGAACAGGTTGGAGCACTGGGACCTTCCCAAACACATCCCAGTGACCTCCACTGGCACCCCCAGGCTGCTCTGAGCACGATCCCCTCCTCCTGCCCAGCTCTCCATCTGTCCCACCACTTGCAACTTCACTCCTTTCCCCAGTCCTCTCAGCCCTTTCCACAGCAGCATTCATTACGTGCTGGGCAAGACCTGCCTCTAATTATTTAACAGAACATATCAAGTAGTCACAAAAAATCATTTTGGCTCATTTTAACTCCCTGATGCTTCATTTTTATCCATCTCCAGCCCTCCTAGTAGAGTCTGCTCCTCTTCTAGGCCACCCCAGTCCCTGGAGGCTTTCCCCAGAGATTGCAGTTTAGATACAGAGGTTTGTTATACAAACTGGTTCATGATTTGGTGATGAGAACACATCACTTACCTGGCAGTCTGTTGATAAGCCAACTCAGCTGCTTTTTAGATATATTTGTCCAGCTAAGATCAAGGGTTACAGGCTGTCTCCTAATAATGCCACTAAGCATAAGTGGAGTGATGGATTTACAATGGTTTAAATCTATTTTGGTCCATAATCTTTTGTCACAGCACCTACCCAAAAAAGAAAAAAAGCCAACAGCACTTAATTTGGCACTAACTTGGATTTTGGTAAGGCTTTAAAAAGTGTCATTAAACACTAGGAAAAACTATAGCATTTAATTGAAAATTTCAAAAATAAGGCCAAGTATTGCAAAGATAAACACAACCTGACACAATGTTACATAAGTTTCAAGTTTCTCCATCAAATATATCCTGCAATAATGCATGGAATTAATTCCACAGAATTACAAGTGTCAACAACTTTAGATCCCATTTTAAGTCATCCCAGCACTTACTAAAATCTATTTTATAGCCTGAAGACAAGTCACCATTCCTTCCTTATATTATTGACTTATTTATATGTGAAGTCTGATTTAAATAATACCCCATTTCCTCTGTGTTTTCCTTACTTAAAACCAGTGCATTTAGGAAAACAGATCCTCCCTCTCCTGTGTTTGTGTTATTCCTATCCATGTGGGATTATGTGTCATTTTGCTCCTCATGCTTCAATAAGGGCAACAACGCCAAGTCCTGATGAGTGTGCAGGAGTCTGCATTTCCTTTTTTTTTTTTTTTTAATTAGCAAATACTGTATTTAAGTAGAAAATGCATTTAGCAGGTTTCAGTGACACCAAGCAGCCCACGAAGGAGACACTCCACACACATCACCTCACACTGAATTATCAGCCTCTCTATTTTGTGCATGTTTTGTTAGCAGGCTGTACTGGAAAGGAGCCTGTTCCTTGTCTGTCTGTCCTTGTGCACAACAGGAACCCGGGACAGGAGTCACCAGAGCCACAAGGCTCCACTGAGGGGTCACTGAAACCTGTAAATCTGCACTAAAGCTTCTGCTGCTGCTGTGCAGCCACAGCTGTGTCAGGGCCACATGAGCACAGGGGACACACTGTGAGCAAACACCAGCAACAAAGGATTCTTCCAGAACGTGCTCTGCTGGCCCAGGGAACAGGGAACAGCCTGGCTCTCCACATACCCTCCACAGGGAGACAATCGGCACAGCCCTTGTGAGGAGCACACGGTGGGATCCTCACTATCTCAGTAGGTATTTAATAGCTGAACTGCACAAATGCTGGCAGTCAGGAAGTCCTGGGGCAGAATGACACCAAGACTGAGCCAGGCTGGCTGTTCCAGCAGCAGGAACACCGCGGTGTCCGACTCCAGCACAGGCTGCTCCGGAGCCCGGCAGGCTGACGCCGAGGCTGACACACACAGCTCCATCAGAAATGCTGGGAACTGCTGTTTCTGAGAAAGCAACGTGAGACCTGCCACTTCTGCCACTCACCCTTTCTGCCTGGGCTCACCAGAGCTCCAGGGACAGCCCACACCCCTCTCCCAGGAGACACCGGTGCCTCGGTCCCTGCCATGCCCATCCCGCCACACCTCGTGTCCCGCCCTCCTTACCATCTGTTCCAGGTCTTGCAAACTCTCATACAGATGCACAAGTCTCTATGACTGAGGTAGCTAAAGACAGCCATCCAGACTTCCCTCTGCATCACGTGGGCTGCCCCGTCATCCAGGGGGAGCGAGTCCGGAGGGGGGCTGATGGGAGGTGGCCGGATAACGTGCCGCTCCATCTGGATGCACTTGGGGGGCGACAGCGAGGGCGGGGGCCGGGCTATTCCCCGGGGGGTGCTGCGCAGGCTGGGCATGAGCTGGTGGTGCCTCAGCTCCCGGGGAGTCCCGTTCAACCCTTTGCTGAACCTATGGAGTCTCTCGCTGTTGTTCAACGCACGCTTGGGTTCCTCGTTCTCGCTCTCCGGTTCAGATTTGATGGGTTGGTGGTTCTCATTGGCAAGGCTGTTCTCGGTTTTTTGGATCTCCTGGTTAAGCTCTTTGCTGAGCTCCTTGCTCAGTTCCTTATTGGGAAGCCGCCTTTTCCTCCTCATCTTGAACTTCTTCTTGTCCCTGGGCTCGGCGCCCTCTGTGCTGGGCCCAGCTGTGGGCGAGCTGGAGCGAGACTGGTCGCTATCCTTGGACCTGGGGGGTGCTTCTGGCAGCTCATCCTCGGGCTCCTGCTTGAGGCGCCGCAGGGGTTTGATCATGGCAGTTCGGTCATCCGGGGCCTTCCACGATCGCCGCTGGAAGGAAGAGACAAGGGCTGAGTGTGGGAGCGAGGCCGTGCGGCGCTTCCAGCGGCGCTTGCCATGCGGATGCTCCGCACAGGAGCCCAGCCCGGGCCCCCTGCCAGCACCGGGCCCCACCCATCCCAGCACCATCCCAGCACCGGGCGCAGCCACCGGCCAAAGGTATCGAGTTCAAGAGCCAGCAGGGATGAGGAGTCCAGCTATTGGCTCACTGCACTCCAGGAGTGATAAATGTACTGGTTCACTGTGCAGATATTCCTGCACGTTCCAGGGCCATGCCCATCTCCGAGTGGATCATTTACACACAGAAGATCAGCAGCACACCATGGACAGCTTTGTCCCCAGCGGGCCACAGCAATCCAGGCTCCCACTGGGCACCCACATCAAACACTGCCCAAGTGTCCTCACACCGTGGCCAGAAGGGCCATTCCCAAAACCCCTGGACTCACAGCTGCCATCCCGGCTGCTGGACACCCACAGCCTCCTTTAGACACTTTAGGTGCTCCTTTACACCAACCAAACCCTGGCCATCCCCTCCAAAGCCTGCACAACAGGGAATGTGACACCCCCAGACTGCTGAGCCGTCACAGGGCCCAGCACTGGTCCTGCCCCAGTCCCTGCTCTGCACTCGCTCCCCCTCACCCACCCCACTCCCATTCACCAGGCTGTGTGAGACAAACCAAGGCCCAGGAAAGCTTTGAGCCTAATCTGATCACCACAAGCAAGAAAGAAGCCACCAGCTGTTACAATGAGACAGCTCTAATAAGGAGATCTGGACTGGCAAGGAGTAGGAACTGCTGTGAGCACACTTGTTGTGTCAGAGGGCCCGTGCTTTTGCTTTCCCAATAAACTCATTGGATCAAGGCAGTGGCTGTGTTCCCAAATTTCAGCCCGTGGCACATGGTGGAGAAAGCTGATCACCCTGCCTTTAAATTACCATATTATTAAGGGAGAAATCACAGTAAGTTAATGACAGGTTCGAATAAAACCATTACTACACCAGCCCAGTGCAGCTCCCCTCACACAGGGCAGTGAGGGCTATTCCACTTCCAGGCACTGGAATTCTGTGATCATGCCAGGCTGTCAGAGGGCAGCAGTGTGCCAGGACATCCCTGGGGGGAGCAGGAACTCTGGGATGTGCTGTGGCACAACCTGCTGAGGGGCTGTGTGGCAGGGGCAATGTTCAGGGAGGGCCAAGCAGCAGTATCAGAACAGATTTTTGTTCCTTGGGTAATCAAAACACAACTGGCTGCTGCATTTTAATACAGGACACCAGAAGAGAAAATAGAAACCCAGACAGTGCAGCTGAACTATCCCAGAGTTAAAGGTTTCCATAAGAGAATATGTAATTTCAAGATGTAAATGGGATAAAGTTTGTTTTCTTCTCCATATTTTAGCTGTTGGAAGAAAGTAAAAAACCCAAACACATTAGCTGTGTTGTGTGGTAATGTGGTGACCCACAGTGCCTTCCTCCCTGGGGGGAGTCCAAAGGGATGGGAAAAGGAAAGCAACGCCAGCAAGCAGCCATGCATGAACTGCTACTGTGAATTTTGCTCTCTTTCCACCAAAGCAGCTCAAATCCCTACTTTTGCCATCCTGCAGCATTTCCACATTCCAGCCTTGCAGGACTGACTGACTCCCACCCCTGGGAGCTTCACAGGCAACACCAGTCCAGCCACTGATTCTCATTTTACAGCCATCAGCCACTTTAGTCATGAGACATAGTAAATTGGAGTCTCATTTCTGCCTCTGCAAATCAGCATTTCTGCAGATCCCAAGTACCACATTTTGGAATCCACATGAAAATTTGGAGTGTTCCTGCCTGGCCTGAGAGTCCTGACTGTCATGTTCAGGGCCAAGTTGTCTACAGAACTGCTGGGAGCAGCTGCTGCTCTCTGCAGGCACCCCAAGGTGTCCTTTCCAGAGGCTTCCCAGGGTGGCACAGCCCCAAATCAGCCCCAAAACAGCTGCCAGGCGCCACCACGTGGAGACACATGAAAAGGCTTCATGAAAAATTGATTTTCACCTTGTTCCTACTCTGAGCATCTTGTAAAGACTTTGCAGTTAAAGTGGGTTTCCCAGTATCTTGAATAAAATAGCAGCCATAACCCAGAGTTTTCAGCCTCTGAACATCAACCTGAGTCCGTGTTCAAGCCACTGTCCTGTCAGACCAGCAGCTTTTACCAGAACGGTCACACATCACAGTTCCTTGGGAACCCATCTGGGCTTTGGGGATGAGCTCTGAGCCAGGAGAGCTCAGACAGCACCCCCAGGCAGCCCAGGCTCTGTGCAGACCTGTGAGCAGGGGTTGTGCCTTACCCGCTTTCTCATCGTGGGTTCCTGGGATTTCTCGAATTTCCGTTTTCTCCACAGATGCACCTCGTCAGATTTTCTCCTCAGGATTGAGTCAACCGGAGCCTTTTTGGAATGTTCTTCCGATTTCCGCCTGGGAGTCTCCTCGCAGTCCCCTTTCCTTTTGGCAGCATCTGGCACTTCCTTGTTGTCTCTGTTAATTTTCTGCTCCTTCAGCAACGAGCCCGGGAGATTTGATGCGTATTTAAATCCTGGTCCGCGCTTTTGCTTGTACGCCAGAGAGACACAAAACACAAACCAACTTTATACCTTATGCATCTCCCAGCTCTTTATGTTGCCACCAGCACTCCCACGCTGGTGGGTTGGTCACTTTTTAACTCACAAAATGATTAGAAAGGAGTTAAAAAGTTTTAATTTTCCTGAGATTATTTTTCTAACTATACACTTGCAAGTGTCTGTCTCTGTCTGTAAAGAAATAATGTTTCACTAATTCCAACAGACACTCCAGGTTTTGCATAATTGCTTGTGAATCTTTAATTTCAGGAATTTTCATTGTCAAAATGAAATGTGCAGCAGTGCACAGAACTAACCTAAATATTCCCCAGGTGCAGGGTGAAGTGTTGGTACAAGTATACAAAAATTATTGAAGAACAGAAAGCTGTGAGCTTGTCTCCAACTCATAGAATCACCACGGAGTGAGCCATATAACCCTGGAATGGTTTGGGTTTGCAGTGACCCTAAAGATCACCACATTCCAACCCTCCACCATGGGTAATTAACAACAAAACCTAAATGAAGCACAAAACCAAAGCTGGTATTGGGCTAAAATCTATGTACAAACCAGAGGGAATGCTTAAGATTTTGTATCTCATTCCAGCACCACTTATTCCCATTAAACTCACTTTTCCAGTTTTCCCTGCATGGTTGCACTTTGGACACTCCCAGCAGTTCGGCAGCTCATCGTTAACCACACCATCCGATTCCTTCACCTGTGGGAGAGACACAACTCACAACTGTGCTGCACAAGCCTGCAGGAAGGTGAAGACCACTCCAAGGCAGGTTGTACAGCTCCTTGTTTTCTGGGCTGGACTGCAGAGCTCCCAGGGGAGCAGAGGCACCGTCCTGCCGGTGCTGAGCAGGCCCTGAGTGCGGCACAGCCACCCCTCGATGATGGTGGAGGAAGGGATGTGACCAAGCACATCTGACAAAGGGCTCAGATCTGGGCTTTCCATAAGGTCAGTGTCAATCCCAATTCACACACTCTGCTCTTAGAACAACAGAGAGCACCCCGAGAGCCCAAGCAACCCCCCAAACCCAGGGCTGCACTGCCCCATCTCCAAACGCCCTCCCACACCTCAGGTTTGCAAAGCCCAGGCCTGTGTCCCCCCAGAGAGGCACAGCCTGATCCCCCCACAGGCAGAGCTCTCCCTTCCATGTTCTCACATCCATTAATCCCACGGGCATTTTTAGCAGCACAGCACCCTGCACTGTAATCAAGTGTTCCTTAAAATACTTTTCTTTCAGGATCAGAACTCGCAGTCCCAGGCTGCAGCCCTTCAGCCCATGTGCCACTGGGGATGGTGGATGCCAAGGCACGTTTGTTCACAGCACTGGACACACAGAGCCACTTCCAGGGCTTCTCACACCCCCAGATCCTCAGTCAGGGTAAGGGAGAGAAAGGCTGACAACTTCACTACCTCCAACACTGACATTCTGCTTTCTGAAAGAAGCTTATGCTCAGTGTTGTTATGCTCCAGCAAAGACACAATCCTGCCCTACACAGCTGGAATGCTCCTCATTTCTGGATTTTCACACAGGAGCCTGGAGTGCTTTCCAAACAAGGAACAGGCATTTCAGAAAAGACATTTCTGTGAATGAACAGCAGAGCTAAGATACACCCTCCACACAAACACACTCACTGATGGCACATTACCACTTAAGGGTTTCATTACATATTCAGAAATAAAAAACTTGAGAGAGAAAAAAAAGAAAAATATTGATTTATTACTATTGGAGACAACAAAAACATGCTGCTGTCCAGACTAACAGCTGGGCACTGGCAGCAGCAGTGTGGCTGCAGGAGACAGGAACAAGCACAGGCAGGGATCTGCAGATTTTTCATGTTTCTGAAACATTTCCTCCTCTCCTCCCAGGGCAGGGAAAAGACACTGGCTGTGCAGGAGCAAGCCCTTGGATTTAGGAACTGCTTCCTCAAGTCCCTGAGCCAGACAGCAGCCATTCTAGTTTCACCATCCAGTGAGAGTGATGACATGTCAGTCTCTCAGCAAGACTTCTGGAGTTAATAAATGAGTAAATGAAGTGGGCAGAATTTAAATACTGGTTTTATCACAACTGTGTGCCTTTGAACCTTCTTTCCCATGGTAGGTGTAAGATACTCCAGAAGTTGTTGTATACATCTCTGCCTCAGGGGAACAATTCCTGGCCCAAGCCCAAGTTGGGAACAAGTTATTTCCCGCACTGAATATAGAACAAGTGCTGCTGAAGGGAAAGCATTACCGCTCTGTCCCTTCTGTGAAGTTTAAGGAACTGAACAGATGTGAGGGAACTGTAAGCAAACTAATTAGACACACACAAACCTGCCACTGAATCTGTCCCAAAGCCTTTCAAGGCTGGGTGGGAGCCAGTTCTGAGTGTTTGCTGCAAACAGCAGGTGGGTGTCTGAGGCACAGCGTGAGGCGTCACAGAAACCTACCTGCAGCACCAGGTCAGCAATTCAGACCTGAACACGAGACCTCGTGCTTGGTAGGGATGTGGAGACCCCAGGATGCTGATCTGGCATCCCTGAGGGAGAGCCACAAATTCTGGCAGTGCCCAGACTGAAGCAGGCAGTGAGAAACACCTGTGCTGGAAAAGGCCTTTGCATCCCTGCTGCTCTGACAAGGCACCTGAATATTCACCTCCATCGTTATCACTACGTTCAGCTGAGATGGAAAAGAACAGGCTCCTGGTGGAGAAAGGAACCCTTTCTCCCAAAGGAAACATCAAACATACTAGCCAGCAATAGCAGCAATTTGAGATGAAGCAAGAAAAATTCACCACTCTTGGTTCAACTCAAACACTGTGTAACAATGAAAAGCAGTGTTCATCCCAAAATCTCATGAGCTCCCTCTGGAAGCAGCGCTGTGCTTGCGAAACTCTCACCAAGATCATTTTCATAAGAAACCCGTTCAGCAAAACAAGCATTTGTGTTGGTGTGGTATTTTCAAGGAAAGAAGGATGTCAGGAAGTTCCTGTGACACTTCTGAGCACATGGAACATCCTGGCTGTCCCCAGCACAGCTCCAACACCAGCACTGCAGGTGCTCAGGTACCAGGGCCCCCACAGAAGCGTCTCAAGGCTCAGTGAGCTCAGTCACCCAAGCCACCTTTAATTTAACTCCTCAGAGAGGTCCTCTGGCACTGCTGCTCCATGGAGAAAACCCTCAGAACACGTACAGCCTAATCAGGGAGCTGGAACAGGATGGACTTCAAACCACAACCAACCTAACCTGGAGCCTAAATCACCCCTGCATGCACTGAACTGCTCCACAGGCTCTGGGAAATGCATCTTGGAGGGAATTCACTCCACATGGGAATAAGCCAGGAAAGGACATCTGCCCTTCACTGATCCAGTTTATTCCAGTCTCCCCCAATAGCACATTTGCCAGACATTTAGCTGGAGACAGCGGCAATTCACATGGTGCTATTTCCCAAGTGGGACAGGAAGGGACTTTGCCTCGTGGGCAGCGGAAGCAGCTGCCCTGGGGCTGGGGCTGCACCAAAGGATATTTATGGGCTCCATCCTCAGGGCTCAAACAACATGTAAACATGGCAAGAGATTTCTGTCTTGCAGGAAATCATGGAACCTGGGAATAAAAAGCAAGGAAGGATCCAAGGAAGAGGCTCCATTTTCCTTTTGTTGTTCCCCTGAGCAGTCTCATCTCACCTTCCAAAATGATTCTGAAATTCTACCAGTGCTCTTTCACCTCAGGAAATAAACAGCACCAGTTCCCAGTTACCCACCATCTCAGCTCAGCAGAAGCACTGAGAAATCAAAATACAAGACACACAAGGCACACAGTAAATCTCCCAGTGCTTAATTGTCAGGAACACCCAAAGCAACGCGGCTCCTAGTTACCAAAAGAACACTCAGAACACCACGCATGTGCAAGAGAACAAACAGCACTTGCCTGACTTCACAGATCTGACCCACATCCTGTACTAGTCCCAAACGTAGTATGGGGAGAGGAGATCATACCTGAGCTGCCACTGGACAATAACTGTCCTGTGAACTCAGCCCTGAGGTGCCACTGACACTGCAAAGGCAGAGATGAGGGCACAGGGCACTTCTAGCAAGGGCTGGAACAGCAAAGCAGCCAAAATTAAAGTAACTCTGAAAATGAGCAGCTCCTTCCTCTGCTTCATCAGCCCCCAAAGTTTTGTTTTAAGCAGAGCCAAACAAGCAAAGCTCCTTTTCAGAGCCCATCTGTGGCAGGAACTGAGCACCAGCTCCATGAATCAGGGAGAAGGCACAGCTCTGGTGTGCCAGCTCCCCACGTTCTGCTCTAATAAATGACAGCAGAGCTTGGTGCAGCACCACATACAGCTCAGGAGAAATGAAAGGCCAGGAGAGCTTCACCCCAGGCCTGCATAAGGAACACACACACCCACCTCTCCTCCCAGACATCCCAGAAGAGCCCAAACGCTGCTTTCTGGGGCACGGTGTGTCAGAACACATTTGCTTTGGCAAATCACTTTAACCATAAACAAAGCAGCAACAGGAAATGGCTGATCAGCTGAAAGAAACCAGCTCTGGAGAAAGGCAACTTCTAAATGCTAATGCACTAAGATATGCACAAAATGACACTTTTGTTACCAGCAAAGAATACAGCTGCTCACAGGACTCAAGTCAGCCAAGGGTGAGCACTCCTGCAGCCTGACACTCGCTCAGGCTGTTGTTCTCCAGAACTGCACTCCTGCTCCAACATTTGCTCCTAACATCTTTAGAGCCAGCTGCCACCCTAAGGCACATCTGTGCCTGGACCTACATGAGCAGCCAATTGCTCATCTGTACTTGGTGGGACTCAGGGAGAAGTTACTGACATGGACCCGGGAATATCTCACCCTGAAGTACAGGCAGATTGCTCTGCCTTCCCCTTCCCAACTGAAACACCTCACTTCCTTCAACAGGGGGCAAGAAGAAAGAAACAAACCCACAAGATCTTCATGTGCACACGCACCCAGGGGATGTCCCAAGCCAGGGTCCCTGCTCCCAGGGAATGCTGTTACCTCAAGGACCTGCCTGCTGGTCAGGGCTGTGCCACACATCTCACCCTGCTCCTCACAACAGCTCTCTGCTCACTTACTCCTCTGTCCAAAGATGAAAACCTAAAAGCTTCCCAATTTCTGTGCACCACTTTTACATTAAGGTGATAACTAATTCAGCTTTTGTTTCCAACATGTATCACATCCTTGTACTCACCTTAAGGCATCCTGGGTGTATGATTTCATTACAAATGGAGCATTCCATTAGCATGAGATTAAACTTGCTCTCCTCCTCTTCCACAGTGTCCTCTTTCCCAGCTTCTCCACACACCAGACACACAGCAGTATGAGGCAGCACCGGCTGTTTATGTACCAGAAAGAACTGATCAAGACATGGCAGACATGGAAACACAAGAGCTCAATGTGCATTTACAGGATCTCATTTCAGAGAGGAGCTAAATAGAGATTAATTGTGCAAACTGACATGAAGGCAAAAAAACCTGATAACAAATTCAGGCTGGGTACCAGACCAAGCTCCACAGGACACGTTTCAGCCAAGTGCCCTCCCCGTAGCAATACAGGTTCAGGGAGCATTACTGGGATGGATGAAAATGCATTTTTGGTGGGTTCCTTGAATCTGTGAGCTGACACAGATATTGGCATGCAAGTCACTTCACCAGTGTACAATGGGAGGGGAAAGAAGCCACCTAGAACACCACTATTCACATCCATTAGTCTCCACAATCCAAGGAGCAATTTGGCAGCTCCCCTATTTTACAGACAGGGCAGACAGATGTTATGGGACTTGGTCCAGGTCTCACAGCAAGCCCACAACAGAACCAAGAACAGACCTTTTCCTGACTGGCAGTCCATTTTCCAGGTCCCTGCTCCCAACCTGAGTACTGTAAAAAGCTCTGCTCACTCAGAAAGAGGATTTGCTCCTGCAAGTGTCACAAGTGAGATCACAGATTTTTTATTTTTTGGTGAGGCAGAAAGGGATCTGCAGCTTCTCACATACCTGTGACCCATGTCAAAGCACTGAATGCTGCTCTAATTAAAAAGACACCTTTTTGCTAATGATTAACAAAATTCTGGTTTGCAGCAATAAGGTATAAACCTCATTACAAAAAAGAAAAGGAAGATCCTAAACTGCCCACAAAGGGAAGTGCAATTGATTAGGCTGCCAGTCCTTAACTATTCCACAGCCAGAGGGCAGAGATGGGGCTTTTCCCTGCAAGGAAAAATCTTGTGGATCTCTTGTGGATGGAGTGAATAAATAAATCCCTAAGAGAATACCTGCACACCAACCCAAATTTCAGAACAGTGCACCCTTCAACAAGTTTCAGGCAGGGGGAAGCCCAGCTGCAGTGAGCCACTGGAGCACAGAGCATTTTACAAACAGCAGTACAACTTCTCTTGCTGGGAGCAAGGGTGTCCAGGCAATCTCCTCTGTGCCACCACTGCCTCTGTGCCACTGAGGGGCTGGAACAGCAGCTGTGCTGTCACGAGTCCTCCCAGCCCCATGCTCCCCTTGCACCCATTCCATGCAGCAGCGTCCCAGGCACTCCTGCTTCCCTGCCTGATGGAACTGGTGATGCAGAGGAGGTTCCTGCTCTCTGAACAGCACTACCATGGGCTCTCTGAAGGATTCTGAGCTTAATGAAAGTCTGTCTAGTTAATATTGTCAGTGTTATTAACCAGAGCAAGAACAATCCCTGAACTGTAGGGATCATTACTTCCATACAGCTTCGGCATCTTGCAGGGTTTTTTTGGCTGGAAGCTGCTGGATAGGTACCACAGCATATTACTGCTGAACTGTAGAGAGAACAAGGGCAAGGCCAACAGGATTGCTTACAGAAATGTGAAGCACCTTGAAAGTTACAACCCTTCAACTCCTAATTTTCTGGGCCTTTGCTGCTTTAAGAGTTTGCAATAATCTCCCTGATATTTGCACCAACCTAGAAAGTGCAGAGAAGTGCATGTGAGTGTGGGGCAAGTAACCAGAGACCCCTGGCTACTTCTGTCCTAACTGAAAGTAGAACTCTAGGCACCAAGAAGGTAAATAAATCTTCAGTGGAAGACAAGAGGGTGACTACACTCAGCTGGAAGAGAACCCAGATCATCTCCAAAAGGCTCAGCCTGTGTTACTGAGAGTGAAACAGCTTAGTATGAAAGTTTCCTTCATCAGTGAGGATGAGAAAGCATGCTGCTGCCCTAATTTAATCCTTCCACTAAAAAGGCAGCATGATTTCACTATTTCTTGCCCCTGGAGAATAATAAATTCTTCATCCATGCTGTTCAATTCATGCCACACTCCAGGAAATCAAGTGTTCAAAGAAAAGACACTTGAGCTGCAAAAGCACTCTGCAGAAAGGTGGATATTCCGTGTACTTTACTGAAAGATCCAGCAGCGCTGAACCCAATCCTCTGTGGCAGGAACAGTGCAGAGCCTGGCACAGGACATGGAGTGAGCTACCAGGAACAACTACTGGAAACCTTATGTGTTTATCAGTTTTTTATCAGTGTCAGGTGAAGTCATTTAATCCCTCCACTTTGGTCATCTCCTAAGAATTAAAAGAAAAACCCTCAAATACTAAGTGAAGGGAACTGTAATGAGAGAAATCGGTATAGATAGGGTGATATTTCAGTTATGAATAAACAACATTCCTTCCCTTAAAAAAACAACAACAAAAGAAACCCAAACCCATAACAACAGCACAAACAAGACCTTCTAAAGAATTAAAATAAAAACTAAAGCTGATTTTCAGCCTTGAACAGAGTCACTGCAGACATGAGACCTGAGAAGAAGCTCCACAAGTCAGCATGGCAGCAACAGATTCAAAAGCTGCTTGAACAACTTAATGGAAGATTAATCTGTCAATATTTGTTAAATAGAAAGCTATCGCTTGTGACTCAAGAAGCTCCTGAGTAATGTACCACGGGAGCCCAGGAAACCGACTGCTGCTTGCCCTGTTCCGATGCTCTTTCCCTGACAGCCATTTCCAGTCCCTGAGGAAGACAAGACCCTGGATTGATGGCCCTCTGCCTCATCCAGATCAGACCCTCTGCTCTATGCCTAAGTAACAACAAACAAATTGAAATTCAGATCTCAGGGAGTCTGGGGCTGGGGTCATCAACACCAAAATCTTGGAGGTTGCCAGTCAAGGCTTTTTCACATTCTAATTTATGTGGCTAACACAGTAAAGATGATTGCAGAGCAGCTTTTCTCAGGAAATTCCAACATCCAAACCAAATACACCACTTCATCCTTTGAATCAGAACTTCCCACTCTTCCCCTTTTCCCCCAAATCCCAGAGTTTGAGGGTGATTTGAGCACTGATTTTTGATGCACTGACAATCTCCACTTCTACAGCGCTAAAAGGAAAGCTGTCCTGTTAAGTTTTAGTGGCATTCTGGTTTAAGATTTGTGGAGGATGAGAAGCACTGGGGAAGAAGCTGGGAGGGCAGGGATCACACACTTTTGTCTGATGCACTTTAGAGAGTACTCAGAGCTCCCAGCCCCACACCCTCTCACCCAGCAGACACAGCGGGAGGAAAGGACTCTACAGACGAGCTGCAGGCCCAGGAACACTTACAGCTATGCACTGCCTCATGATGCAGGACTGCTTCATCCTGCCGGGCCCCCCGAACTTCTTCATGTCCTTGCAGAAGTGGCACTCTCCGCACTCTGTCCGCAGACACGCCTCGCACTTGCGGCATCGCGTCCTCCGCCGCCGCGCGCCCGCCGTGCTCCGGTTGGCCGCGAGCTTCACCGCAGAGGCAGCGCCCAGCTTCCCCTTGGGCCGCCCGACTGCCCTGTTCTGGAAGAGACACACACACACAGGGTCAGCTGCACATCCCACAGCCCTGCTGAGCCCTGTGGAAAACTGCTCGGTGTTACTGGAATTATGCACGCACAGGTAACGCTCAGCAGGTAGAGACATACAATCATTCTTAGTCACAAAGGAGTTTCATCGCTTCCCCAAGAAAGGTTGTGTTGTAAAAAGGCACAGATGCCAGGACACAAATGAGAGAACCCAAAGCCAGAGCAAGCCCATTTCAACAGGAGGGCAGGAGAAGACATTTAGGCACAGCTCAACACAAGATCAAATCCCAGAGGAGATGCTTGGCTGAGGTCAATAGATCATCTGTGCCAGTGCTCAGCTCTGGGCTAGAGGTATCTTAGATTTGTGCTCACACTAAGCCAGAAGAACTTCCTCTACTGAAGCCAAGAAGCAGCAAAAGGGATTTGGTGGTTAGGTACAGCACAGAAACACTGAGCCAGTGCCTCAAGCCCCCAGTAATATCCCTAAAAAATCAGGAGAGTATGAACTACTGTCAAGCGATAAAGCAGGAAATAAAACATAAATGCTCCAAAACCCTTCCAAGGTAGCTCCCCTCCTATCCAACACTAGCAAGTGCTCAAAAATAGAACACCAACTGATGATGTGCAAAGGCTAAAAAGGGCATCCCAGGTCTAGATTTCAATGACCTTTAAGACAGAAACTAAAGGAGCATGAAAAGATTTGAAATGATTAGGTTAACTGCAACATATTCACTCTGGACATCCAAATTTCGTGTTCTCATCAGAAACTCCCTGTTATACACAAGAACTTACAGCTCAAGCCAAACATCACTAAATACCATGTAATTGTATGGGGCTAATTATGCAAGAATTGGCTTGGCTCATAGTGTCCCCTGACAGCTTTCTCCATAAAGATGATAATAACAAGACCGCAAAGTTCATCTGGTTTAGCATTTCTACAACTCTTTCATTTTCTGCACATCTCTGCACATGATCAACAGACCACCCAGTTTCACTTTCTGTTCCTGTTGAATTCTGGGCAATCACCAAGGTAGGAGCATCTTGGCTGTAAGGAGCCAAGCAGAAACTCCAGCAGAGTTTTTAAAAGAAAAGATGTGGAAACATTGCACCTGGTTCTACAAAAGCTTCCCAAGTGTCCTGCTGTACAGCCCTGAAGAGAAGCCACACTGCAGTGTATTTGATCTTCCTCCCAGCTGACTTAGCAAAGCTCCAGTGACTTTCTCCAAGCTGCAGAGAAGTGCTGATATTTTAACAGCCTCCATCCCAGGAATCTCAGTGCTGGGAGACAGAAGAAGTCAGGAGCTAGACCCCTTAAGCCTTCTCTCCTACAGACTGACTATCATTACTGAGGTGGGAGAAGACACTTCTTAGTCCATGAGGTTGCAGAGAAGTTTTTAATTGCACTCCTCCGGAACAGATTTTGTTCCGTGTGCAGGTTGAATCTCACCGTGCTGAGTGAACACGGACGAGCGCAGCTTCCTTCCCATCGGCAACCGCAGCAGCCGCCTGGATTTCAGATCAATGTCAGACACTCTAAAGAATAAATATTTACCTTCTAGACCAACTTTCCAGCCTCTCAAGGATAAAGTCGGCTCTGGCAAGACTGGCTTAGAGGCAACCTAGATAAGAGATAATTTTCTTCCTCAGCATGAATCACTCCTCCATTCTATTAGAGTCTCCTTCAGCTAGGAAGGGAGGCGAGACACGAACCAAAGGCTGGATATCAGTGGGAACAAGTTAAACCAAAACATGCACAACAACCTTGGCAGCTCCCCTTGGACAACAGCACATGGAAGATACTGTGTGAGCACCTGACTCCTGCCTACTGGGAAGCAACATGATTAAGTTTGAGGCAAACAACAGCTATGACACCGTGAGAATGCTGTTTTTAAAATGCTTTCAAGGAAAAATCAAACTCTGTACTTTTCCAGCTGAAAGACAACTCTTGCTTCTGCCACAGCAATATGAGCCAAGTCCTAATTCCGAGGACAACAGTTTAAGTGCCAGGACACTGCAAAGGCACAAGTGATAAAAAGGCATCAGCTTAACACAGAATTTGAGAATCCTAAAAAACCCACAAAAGCAGGAAGCTGGAAGTACAAGAACAAGCCTTGAAGTCAGACCAACACCACACAACTCATATTTTCTTCCAGACACCACCAGAACACAGCAGAGATGCAGACCTCCATCTCACTGTATGGAACAATGAGATTTCTTGCCTACCCAAACCTCTTCACTGTTCGTTAGCAAATTGTATTAGCTGGGTTTGTACTAATTCACCAACCAAACAATCCTCATCCAAGCCACGTTTTCACTCCAGGATGTCGCAGCCAGCAAAGCAAGAGAGGCCTTGCAGGAATTCCCGTTCGTATCTAGTTTCAAGGGGCTCCAAAAGTGGTCGTTTAAAAACCTCCACAGAAGAAAATCTGGCCTGTGGGTTCTTCCCAGAAAGGGGCTGGGATTCAAGGGGGTAGAAGGAGCCTCCAACATGGCTTGGGGTTTATTTAGTACATGGCAGACAGCCAGATAAATTCCAGGTCGATGTTAGTGAGGAGATGCTGCAGGATTTCCAGCTCAAGCTGCAGTTTTACAACATACCAGCCCTGGTAATGAGACTGGGGAAAATCACAGCTCCTGTCCCCATGTCTGCACTGCCACTTGCCACCCTCTCAGCACAACTCCATGGATTTGTCTCATGGCAGGAGATGGCAGCACTCCTTACCCTGGCTTTACCACAGTGCCCAGCAACAGCAGCTCCATGGCCTGAGGCTCAGGGCTGGGTGTCACACCAAGCCCTACTCCAGGTTCTAGGCTGACACAATCTCACTCCTGTGGAGAGGACCCCACCATCTCCTTTCCCAAGGATAAGCATAGCTTGGGCTTGATGACTCTGTAGCCCCCCCACCAACATCTCTGAGAACCTTCAAGGAAACAAAGATTGTACCAAACTTGAAGATTTTTTTTTCCCCTTAAACCTTACCACAGAAGCCAGGGAGCTGAGACAGAGCCTGCCTGGAATACCATCACCAGCCACCCACCGTGTTCTCCAGCATCTTCACAAAAACTGTGCTCCTAACTTCTATGGCCACAGCACATCTTCAAAAGAGAAGCAGGGGGATGTTGAAGTGGTGACAGCCACTCTGCCAAGCTCTCAACAAAGGCAGAGAAGCAGCTGCTGAAATGTACTAGGATTAATATCTTAAATCCATATCTCTATTACACTGAAATCTAGGAAGCTGGTGGACTTGCACTGCCTTATAGACAAGTGAACAGGACATTTTTTTTTCCTTTTGTGGGATTTTTTTTTGTGCTCTCCATATTACTGCTATGACACACAAAGGTAACTGGCTCCTGTTCCCACAGCAGACAGCACCTGGGCACTGGGGGTAAACATGGGCCACCACATGTACTATCTACAAAACCATTTACAAGTCATGAAGTTGTGCTCGCCCTCCCACACCACAGTGCTTAAACAAGCCCACTCCTCCAACAGGAAACGGATTGCAGTGATTTTCTGAAGAGCTGGCCTCCTACAGACCCCATCAAATTCAACATGCTCCTGTTGGACAGCAATTAGGGGACTAGATGGGATGGTCAGTAATTGTCTCTCAACAGGGCTGAGCAGATCTGGGAATAAGTTCAGGTACAACACTCACAGTTCTAAACTAGCCCTGGGAAATGAACTACCTGGAAGCCTCTGCTCAGAGAGTGAGTTAATCATGGTTATGGACAAACATTTGGCTGCTGGGCAGTTTCCACTGCCCACTTACAGGTACTTCAGCACACTTTCACACATCCCAGCCCTGCTCAGTTGTCACTAAAAAAACACCAACCAGGTTCAAAGGACCAGAGGCACTAAGGAAAGGCCTCTGCCCTGAGCACAACCCTTACTGCAACAGAAACATAACCCTGATGTTTACAGCAGCAAATTTCTAACCTTCACAATTACAAAGAAAACTCAAAATACCTCGGGCTAACAAAAACAGCAGGAACACCAAGCTTTGGAGAAAACTGCAAGAGCTATCAGCCATTAAATGTATCCTTAAATAGGTGCTAATATTCCTCAGATGTCCCAACACCAACTGGGATCTGCTGGAGATGTCACCAGGCCAACTTCACATACAAACTCCTCCACCCTAGAGAGGAAGACCAGCTGACCCTTTGACCAAGTGCAGAAGGAGGGAGGTCCTGGTTCTCAAAGCAAAGCTGACTAAGTCTGCAGCCTGGAAACAAGCTCTTCTGCAAGTGGCCTTTACCTGGGCTCAGCTCTTATTCCACTACCCAGCTTCAGTGATCTGCTTAAACTGCTGCCAGCAGCACCAAACCATTATTTCAGACTCAACATCTCCAAGAAAAACTCAGAGACGTGTGGCACTGTTCTGAATGGCTTCTCAGGGGGGCAGGTCAGTGAGACCCTGAAGCACTTCACTTCAACCAAGTACAATCTGAACAGCTCATGTATCTGCTGTGTACTCTCCCCTAGACATGGTCTTTTATGTGTGCAGTGTTCACTGCTTCAAGGTGCTGTGCCACACAAATATATCCTTGCATTTGCAAGACAGCACTGATTTCCTTCTGTAACACACAGACAAATTCTGATTATTCTCATTTACTGTAGTTAGACCATGTCCACACAAGCACAACAGCACCCTAGGATGAAAATCCAGGACTTGCCAGGTGCCAGTCCTGAGCTTAGAGCTTTATGTGGCACTGCATCCCAATGCAATTGTTTTAACAGAATTAGGATAGCCAAATCTAACTACCACTTGTTTCTTTAGAAGGTCTGATAAATAAACACTAAGGGAAAACAATTTTTTACAGAAGCCACACGCATTAACCCACAATTTGTAACTGCTGTCACCTAAAACACCACCCTAAGGGGGCTGGGTCATAGGCAACACTGGGCACTGGAGACACCCACAGGGTGGCACAGCAAAGGCTTCTGCTCAGTTATGTCTTTGTCCTTTCCCACTGCACCAGAGGTGCATTTTTCCA